GGGAGCGCATGTGCCCTATAACAAAAACCCCCCAAAAAAAAAAAAAAAATCCTGAGAGGATGAAGAAGAAGGGATTGTGGTATGGCCATCCTTCCTGGAGAGTGATTTCATTCTCTCTTTCTCTCTGGCAAGTGCACACACACCTATGGTAAAAATCTTAGGAAAAAAGGGACCCACAGAAGGTGTAATGGTTATGTTGCTGGACTCCCACACAGTTGACCGCAGTCAGAGTCCCGGACCTGGCTGCTTCAAACTCAAGCTGGGAGGGTGTGTGTGTGTGACCTGGCAGCTTCAAACTCAAGCTGGGAGGGTGTGTGTGTGTGCCCAAAATCCCACAGTGGAGAACAGAAGAGAAGGGAATGCAGCGTGTCCACCCATGGTGGGTGGTTTCTCGCTTTCTGTCTCTCTCTCTGGCAAGTGCATGTGCCCTATAGCAAAAATCTCTCTTAAAACAAAAGACATTCAAATTGGAAAGGAAAAAGTAAAATTGTCTATTTATGGACTGTATGTTTAATAAAAGAAAAAACTTAAGTTTTTTTTTTAAGAATTATTTTATTTAACTTTATTTAATTCATTTATTTTAATTTGATCAGAGAGGGACAAAAAGAGAGAGTAAGAGAAAGATGGAAAGAGAGAGAAAGTGACAAGCAAGTTGCCAGGTCCGGTACTTGAATCCTAGTCGGCCATGTGGGAGTCCAGTGCCTTTAACCACCACACCACCTGCTGGCCCCAAAAGAAGATGTTAAAGAATGTACAAAACAGTATTAGAACTAATAATTGAATGAAGCATAGTTGTAGGATACAAAGTAATGCTCACCAGAATGAAACAGAGACAGAGAGATAAAGCGAGGGAGCATCCACCCCAAATGGGGTATGGTCACGGTACAATCCCCTCTCTTCCACTGCTCCACCCTGTCAGGATTTAGGGTTTACAAGCATGTGCCCAGCATGTTCTTCAAGCTGCTGGGGTCTGATCTCATGCCGTGTGGTGGGACATGTGGGATCTGGCTCTCTTAACTACTGGGCCACAGAGCTGGCTCAGTACTGATGTTTATTAAATTTATTAACTTTTTGCATGTGCGGGGCCAGCTGGTGGTGTGGTGGTAAAGGCCGCTAGATCCTGCATGGCTGACCATGTGGTTTGAGCCCCAGACCTGGCGGAGTGAAAAACATGCTGGACCCAAGTGCGTGCATGCCAAAAATTCTGAAAAGAGGGAGAAACGAGAAGAGACTGCGATGTGGCCAGCCCCCTGTGAAGGGCGCTTTCTCACTCTCTCTCTCTCTGTGTCTCTCTCCAGCGAGCACACATATGCTCTGGCAAAAACTAAGTTAAAAAAAAAGTCTTGTTTATTGAAACAGTAAAAGAATAGACAAATCACAGAATTCAGCAATGCCAGCAATACGTACAGCTGACAGAGGACTAGTATTAATAATACTGAAATAACGCCTAACTGGTAAGAAACCAAAGCAAACAATCCAATTAAAACACGGCCTTGAACAGGTATTTCACACAAAAATGGAAGGATGCCCAAATGGCCAACAACAAATAACTGTCACAACATTTCTGTTTCAGTGAGATACCACTACGTAGCCATCAGAGGGCTAAAATCCAAAGACTGCCAGCAAGTTTTGGTGGAAATTGGGTACAGCGAGAATGCTAGTGGGAGCATGAATGAACTTAATCACTTTGGTAAGTTACTTACAATATCCATTAAAGCTCAGTGATCTATTAATATGCTCAGCAATTAAGGGGAAATACTGAAACACACAACACTGAGGAGTCTAAAAAATGTTATGGTAGAGAAAGAAGCCCAATCTCTTCCTTTTTCTTTTTTTAATTATTTTTACTTAATTTTATTTATTCATTCATTTGCTTTTAATTTGACCAGAGATAGACATACACAGAGAAAGAGAGAGAGAGAGAGAAGAGAGAAAGTGAGAAACAAAGTCACCAGGTCTGGGACTCAAACCATGGTTGGCCATGTGGGAGTTTCCAGCACCTTAACCACCAATCCACCTGCTGGTCCCCTGGCTCTCTTCCTTTCAAAAAGGTACACACCATATGGTTCCATTTACGTGGAATTTAAATATAAATGTATCCTTCTCTACCTAATGTAAGATGTCAGAATGTTTGCCTTTGTGGAGGATAGCGGTAGTTATTAACTGGTCATGCCACAATTTCTTCTCCTCCATTTCTCCCTCCCTTTAGGATTTTAGGTAAGTATACACATGGATCTAGCACATTTCCAAGCTAGCAGGGCCAAGGCTTGAACTACATGGTCAGCCATGTGGGATCCAGTTGCCTTAATCATACCACCAGCTGGCCACAAACTAAATTCTTAAATTATTTTAGGAATTAGGAAGAAATCCCAGGGGTGAGAGAAATGTTTGCCATCTTAATCTGGGTGCAAAACTACATATATGTAAAAATCCTTCCAGGGGGTGGTTTTACTAGTGTTAAACTATTCCTTAATTAAAGAACTTATTAAGAAAAGGTAAAAAAGAACGCATACAGGGTGAGCACCCTTTATCTAAAAATATGAAATGCTCCAAAGTCTAAAAACTTCTGAGTGCAAACCAGTGGAGAGTTCCACACCTGAGCCCCTGTGGCAGTCGGAGTCACAGAACTGCAGTACAGAAACACTGTATGAAAGCACCTATAGGACCTACAGGCCATGTGTATAAGATACATATGAAACATACATGAATTCTGTGTGTAGATTCCATCCCAAATATCTCATCATGGTTATGAAAATATTCCAAAAAAACACCCGAAATTTGAAACACTTCAGATGTGTTTTAGAAAAGGAATTCTCAACCTGTATGAGAGATAAATTGGTAATTTGAGAAGATAGAAACAAATATATTGCATTTTCTATATATATTTTTGTATTTTAAAACTTTTATTTTTAAGAGAGATTTTTGCTAGAGAGTATGCGAACTCACTGGAGAAACAGAGACAGAGAGACTGAAAGCAAGTAATCATCCCGTAGGGGGGGGTGGCCATGCCACAATCGAGATTCTGGGGGCACACACACACATGCTTGGTGTGAGTTGTAAATTTCTGGGTCTGGGACTCAAACTGTGGTCGACTATGTGGGAGTACAATGATGTACTCATTATGCCATCTGCTGGTTTCAAAACTTTATTTTTTTTTTAGAATTATTTTATTTAACTTTATTTATTATTATTATTATCATTATTATTTTTCAGTTTGATCAGAGAGAGACAGAGAGAGGAAGTGAGAAAGCAAGCCACCAGGTCCGAGGCTTGAACCGTGGTCACCCATGTGGGAGTCCAGCGCCTTTAACCACCATGCCACTTGCCAGCCCCACATTTTTTTTTTAAAGAATTATTTATTTTATTTTATTAGTATTATTCTATTTTTTCCCCCTAAGTTATTATTTATTTAATTTTATATTTTATTTATTATTATTATTATATGATTTGTTATGGTACATGCATTCACCAGAGGCAGAAAGAGAGAAAGATAGCGAGAAGGAAAGTGAGAAAGCAAGCCACCAGGTCCAGAATTCAAACTGTGGTCGGCCAGTTGGGAGTTCTGTGCCCTAACCACCATGCCACCTGCTGGTCCTTATTAGTATTATTCTTAAATCTGAAGAGAGTGACAGAGGGAGAAAGAGGGAGAGTGAGCAAGTTGCCAGGTCTGAGACTCGAACCACAGTCAGCCATGTGGGAATCTGGTGCCTCAACCACCATGTCACCTGCTGTCTCCTTAAAACTTTTTTTAAAAAAAGAATTATTTACTTAATTTTATTTATTATTATTTTAATATGTGGTACAGTACATGTGTGTGCCCAAGAGAGAAATAGAGAGAGAGACAGAAGGAAGTGAGAAAGCAAGTCGCCAGATCCAGGACTTGACCCATGGTTGACCATGTGGGAGTCTGGCACCCTCCATCACCATGCCACCTGCTGCCCCCTGGCCCCACCTGCTGGTCCCCCTGCCCCCTGGCCCTTTTCTTATAAAAGGAGGAATTTGGAAATACACATGTACAGAGAAAAGATGAAAGATGACGTGAAGTCAAAGGAGATTGATGTTTACAAGTCAAGGCCTCAAACAGACACTTCCCTCACATTCTAGCCTTCATTGAAACCACCTGCCCAGTCTGTGGTACTTTATTATGGCAGCCTTAGCAAACTACTACCCTAGTCTGGTCCTAACATTTAACCCCAACCCCACCTCTTCCCCAAGAGGAAGCCCAAACTGCAACGGGCCAAGATTCTTACTGGGTCTTGCATACCTTGGTTCAGGTCACTCTCAAAATGCAGTAAGCTCTTATACTCAGCAACAACTAAAATCCAACCCATTCTTTAAGATGTGATCGTTTTCTTGCTTTTAAATTAAAAAAAAAATATTTAAATTATTATTATTTTAATTTGACCAGAGATAGACAGAGAGAGGGGGATGGAGAATGGTGGGAAGGTGGGGGAGAATGTGAGAAGGCAAGTTGCCAGGTCCAGGGCTCTAACCCTGGTTGGCCATGTGGGAATCCAGCGCCTTAACCACCACACCACCTGCTGGCCTCACGATGTGACTCTTTTCAACTCTCTACCTTGAATCATCAGAGGCTATACCACCAACTTGTCCTCTGACAAATCGTCTACTCCACCTCTGCGTTCATTACCTGAGAAACTATTAACGAAGCCCTGTGTTGGCACTATACCCTCTATATCTGGGTAAAAACTGGAAGCAGCATACTGTATTTATTTCAGGGCTGCTACTGGAAAGATCTGCACCGTCACTTACATGAACAACAAAGACATTTTCCTGGACTTTGTTGACTTCATTTTCCACAAGGAATCAGTTTGGCTTAAGCTTCTCATCAATGCAAATCTTTAAACAAACACTGTATGTCTCTCTGCCACAGTTATTAGTGAGGTCAGAATGAACACTGCAGCCCTAGTTTGGAAAATCTGCAACATCAGAGGACCTTGCTGTGCTGGCTCATCTGTTTCGCTGTATTTTCCCTGAGTAACTGAGCCATTTCTAGTTAGCATTTTCCATATTCAACATATGGACCCTTAAAAGCTGTAAAATCTAAGTTAGAAAGAGTTCATACATAACTCACCTGAGATATTTTCATTTTCTGCTGCTCCTGGAAGAGTGTATAGAACTGCGAAGGGTAACCTGGAAGTAAGAAAAGAGCCACAAGAGGTTTAGTCGGCCTCTGTATACACGAGCCTGAAAATCTCATCTTTTCTAGTTGTAGAACAAGCCTCCCTAGAGAAACATGTGCCTTTGAACCTTAAGAAGGGGCAGGAGGAGCACACAGAGATAATAACTCCTGAATACATGTGTCTCTAACATGAGCCTGTGGATGCAATCTTGCAATTTTTTCACTAGGCCACTGTAATTATTTTCCCATTGATTTATGAATAATGCATGTCTTCTTTGGCTAATGAAAAAATAGAGTATTCAAATGAATTTTCCATTATTATTATTCATCCCAACAGAACATCAACAGAGGACCAGCCCCATGACTTAGCAGTTAAAGGAGCTGATCCTATAAGTCTATCTGCCTGGTTCATATCCTGAACCCAGTAGCTTGAAAAACATGTCAGGTGCATGTGTGTGCACCCTAAGTCTTGACAGGGTGGAGAAATGAAGGACGAGCATTGCAGCGTGATCACGCTCCACTGGGGGGAGAGCTTTTTCTTTTTGTGAGTGTTCACATCCTCTGGCAAATTAAAAATGAAAAATTAACAGAAAAAATTTAAAAAAAAAAAGGACATAAGATGCTTAAAGACAATTTTCTTCACCTTCTTGTTCTAATATAAGTTTCTCAAAAAAAAAAAAAAAAACCTTCGGTAAGACACAGATAACTCACCTCTGAGTGAACAGCCCTGTGCTCTGCTCCTGGCTCTGTCCTGGATTACCATGGACAAATCATTTCAGGCTCAGTTTTGTTGTTTGGAAGGTTTCAAAAGTGTCAGAAAGAGAAACCCTTCTCTTCATTGTCATTTAGTAACTCTCTGCATTCAGGACAGAGGAAGCCTCTGCGCATCTAGACGTGACATGTGATAGCATGGTGCTAAGAAGGGCTCAGAATCTGGAAGGAGTGAGGGGAAAATGAGGGCGATAAGGATGGCTGGAAACAGAACCCCCTCAGCTCTGGCTGGTTATGCCTACCTTGGAGGCCACAGAGGTCATTCTAGTAAGTGGCTTTTTCTGTGTAGCCTGACACCACTCAACCCTCTCAACCCCAGCTCACCACCTTCTGCAAGTTGGTCCACAGTGTTCGCTGTCTCACAGTCGGCGATGGCTTCTGGCTGTGGCGACATCCCCAGGTCTGGCTCTCTCTGGGGAGGGGAGTAAGAACTGCTTCTGGTGGAGAAATTAGGACCTGCTCCTTGCTGGGGCCTTTTGCATCTGCTTTGAAGCTCTGTGGAGAAGGTCTCTATCAGAAGGGCTGGGCTTCCATGTGGAATTCCTGTCTCTCAGACTCCTTCTTATCACACAAAAATTTGCTTCAGGGAAGCTGAAATGTAGAACTTGGAAACAAAATAATTTCAGTTAAAACTTTCATGGGAAGCGCTATTCTCCACTTGAGCATGACTGATACAGTGAGCTGGCTAACTCTGTGATGCGGGGGCTGTCCCCTGACTCCAGAGTGTCTGGGGTTATGTTTAGACATCCACTAGAGGCTGGTGCACCACTCCCCCTAGTTGTGACAACTCAGAACACCTCTGGATGTTTCCCAAGTCCCCTGGGATGCAAAATCATCCTGGTGGAGGACCACTGAAGTGGGGTTCTCTTGGAGTTCATTAAAACTGTGTTATTCATTATGGCAGCTCCTAGCCACTTGTGACTACAAGATGTGGCGCTTCAAGTGTGTCCAGGGCCACACATTGAAATAATCTGGCGGGGGGTGGGAGGGAGCAGCCCTGGAGTATGGCAGTGCCTTATGAAGATGGAGACAGCCTGGACAGTGCAGGAGGTGTCAGGAGCCACAGTCTGACCCAAAGGCTCTGGAGACACGTGGAAGACATCCGGGAAGAACACACAGACAGACAGCGAGATTCTGTCCATACTGACTTCACAGTCATAATCCTGGTGCCCTGGTGCCGTCACTCAGCCAGTGTTGTGAAGGCTGTGATGGTAGGTTAGGTAGGGTATCAGAAACAGTCTCCTCTCCCTTTGTGACCTTGGGTGTATCATTTCAACCCTCATTCTTCTGTTCTAACGATATAATTACACCTATAAACAGGGTGGTCATGAGAATGAAATACTAAATGAAAAGAACAAAAGTATCTTCCAGGGACCAGTAAATGGCATAATGGTTACACCACAGGACTTCCACATAGTCGAGTGGTTTGAGTCCCCCACCCGGCTTAAACTATGCCCAGGGTGTGTGTGTGCCTGCATGCCCAAAGCCTTGAGAGGAGAATGGAGACACGACTGTGGTGTGCCCATGTGGGGGTGGGGGGTGGGGAGGTTGATTTCTCACTTTCTGTCTCTCTGGTGAGCAAGCTTGCTCGAAAGCAAAAAAAAAAAAAAAAGGTATCTTCCAAATAGGATGGGAGTCAACATTTACATGTGGCTTATTTACATGGCCAATCCTTTACAAATGACCACTTATGGGGACCAACTAGTGGCATGGTAGTTAAGGCACTGGACGCTCCCACATGGCTGATCACGGTTCGAGTCCCAGACCTAGTGGCTTGCTTTCTCACTTTCTCTGGCCACATTTAAAAAAATGATTGAATAAATAAATAAATAAATAAATAAATAAATAAATATATATGTGTATATATATATATATATACATATATATATATAAATGACCACTTATCAGCAGAAGGTATAGCGACTCATCTCTCTGAACAACACGAAGCGATTTTTACCAATCCTTATTTTGGGCTGAGAAATCTGATAAGGCCGCGCGCGGCATGTGCTCGGTCAGGCCCCCCCTGCGCACTGCCCTCTGGCCGGCGGCAGCGCTCTCCGGGCGGGCTGCAGCGCGGCTCCCACTCCACCGCCGCCATCGAGCATCTTCCAGAGCACTCGGCCCACCTGCGCCCCTGCGGGCCACCCCCACGGCATTTCCGAGGCCGAGGTCCCGCAGGAACCTCGCACAGAACTAGGGAGGTCTGCTCTGGGGAAACTCCTCGGACGTACCGGGCACCCGCCCTGGACCAGGCCCACCCCACGAAGCTGGCCCGCAGGCGGCGCCGAAACCCTGGGCCCTAGCGCTCTCACCTGAGGGAGAACCCAACACACCGGCGAGGGGGTGCGGAGCGATGCAGGAGGGCGGGTCAGCCGCACATGCGCAGAGGAAAGCGCAGCATGCTCATTCCCAGAATGCTGCGCGAGAAATCATATCACAGAGGACTACATTTCCCACAAGACACCGCACCCCCGCGCGCCGATTTCGTTTTTGTTTGGAGGATGGATTTAGGATGTTGCTGACAGTTGTCCTGATACCTGGAGCTCAGGTTCTGCAGGAAACCCAGATGTTATGGGTTCGTCTTTATGCTTTATGACAACAGCAAATGCCATGCCTTGATCTGATTCTGGTTGCAGAAAGGAAAGGCTGCAGAAGACATTGGGAACCACTGGGGAAATTTGTATATGGATTGCATATTATTATTATTTTTATTATTTAGAGAGAGAGCTTTGCTATAGGGTGTGTGTGCTTGCTGGAGAGACACAGAGAGACAGAAAGTGAGAAATCACACCCTCCCCTCCCCCCCAAGGGGGCATGGATACACTGCGATCCCTTCTCCTCTGGCAGAGGCTATTCAGCCAACACAGGCAGAGCCTAAAGAGCTGCCTCTCATGTTTAAGTAAGGTCTGGGTGAGAAAAGCTGCAGGCAAGGCCACAGCTATGAGCTCAAGCTATCAACTGTGTTTGATATACTGGTTTGTGCTATTTTTGCTTTCAATCTCTCTGCTATGGTACCCCATCAGGGTAAAATAACACCCCCGACCTTACTGTAACTTTTACAGTAAAACCAACTAATAATCCTGAAAAGAATGCGGACCCCTAAAGCGATGGAGAACGGGAATTATTTTGTGAGACTCACCCTACCTGCCTGGAAAATATCAATAAAAAAATGCTACATTCACTTCTATTGGGGACTACATAGATAGCATTAGAAAGGTTTGGGTTAATGGAAAACTACTAAATTGGTGAAATGACCTCAGTAGCTGGGAGAGACTCAGGGGCTCACCTGTGAGATACTGATGCCCCAAACAAAGACCATGAGTCACCTTTGATCTCAGGACAAGGAAAAATTGCAGCTCCCCTGAGCCATAGCCATTGTATAGAACAGCACGTAGACACTCTTGATCTCAACAAAGTGAGGGTCACACGTACACAATAACCTTTAGGTCAGTCATTAAGCTACTTACAAGACCACATTCCTTTCCCATGTGGGCAATTGGCTCGCTCCCTTAGTTGTAGATTACCTCAGAGACAATATAGATGTTCTACTTTAGTATATATTAACTATGTCTTTACTTAACCAGATAAGATTTCTATCTAGGCCTCCGGCCTGGGGCTGAAGTTATCAAGTTGGCCTGGGGTTAAAGTTATCAAGCTTGCTGAGAAACCTCTCATGGGAAAGGCCACCATACCTGGTAATCAAGATCTAAGAAGAAAATATACTGGACAGATGGAATCCCTCGCCCTGAGGACTGTCATTGACTTCACCTGATCAAACAGAACAGTGCATCATGTTTTATGATTATTGTTCCCATGCTTTGAAAACCTTAATTTTTAGAGTAAAGTCTTTTACCTCCTCCTCACCCCTCCTACTCTTGTAAACATCCCTCAATAAAAATGTATGTCTCCTAGCCACAGACGCTGCAGTCTTGAGCTTGCTCTGACTGTAGTCAGCTGAGAACATGCTGAAGAGCATAGAGGTCTCTGCCTGATTTCTTCTTGCCTGCGTTGCCTCCATTGAGTCAGCCCATCCCAGCTGGAGCAGGTCTCCGGCACTCCTCCATGCTTCTGAGGCCCAGGGTGAGGTTTTGTTTGTTTTTTTAGAACAGGAATCAGAGATGGTTAATGAAACACAAGACAGTAAACTTATAAAAACGTTGCCAAGTTGAAATCGGGCAGATGAAGCGATTATTTCCAGGGGTTTCCTTCCTGAACGTATCAGGCCTTCTGTCGTGAACTGTCAGAGCGTGCAGAGGCTGTCTGCCAGGGACGTTCAACCTTGGTAGTTCTGAACCGCCAGGCCACGAGACTCAGCCTGATGACTATTTACGCAGAAAGGGAATTCTATTTCGAAGAGACCATAGGACTGAGTCACACCTACTTGTTAGATCTGGGGAAGAAAAGCAGCTTTTTGGTTAACATCGAGGCGAAGCAGGGCACCTGCTTCTTTCTGATCACACCCGGGTCTTTGCAGAGGGCCATGCAGCACTGAGACACTTTCCTGTTTACCAGCGTCAGGAGCTCCATGAACTCTAAGGAGGAGCCCTATTTTCCCAACATCTCACACAAGTCTTGGATGTACCATGAGCCATTCAGAGTTTCCCAGTGAGGATAATATCCTGGGACAGAGTAACACATGAGGAAGCCCACTCCGGCTGGCAGTGTCCACCGCAGTGCTGTGGTGTTGTACAGCTTGTCAGTATGATGGTCCACCAGGTCCAGAGGAATGACCAGAACGCCATGTTGGCTTCCCCGACACGCCTGAATGATGACTATCTTGAGTGTTCCACCAGGCTCTGACACTTGTCGCCTTTGAATGAGCCAGTCAGCATCTCGAGTTTGGCATCGTAGGCATAAACGTGGTTGCCTTCGCCATGGCTCAGGAAGACACACAGGAAGCAGTCTGCGTCCACTTGGCTGGAGGTTGACACCTTGTGAATCCTGGACTCCCTCTGCTTTCAGATCTTTGAAACATTTCACTTCGATTCCTAGGTCGGAAAACCTGCGTATGAGGCTGTCGTGCTGCTGCCCCGCCTCTCCGTCAGCACCAGGGGCCAGAGGAACCTCTCGGGATTGAAGATCAAAGCGACCCCTCTCCGCTTGTGGTCCATCCTGTACTCTCCTGCTGAGTCCAACATCTCCCTTTTGTAGAAGGCATCTGTTTCTGCCACGTTTTGTTCTCCAACTGCAGGGCGTTGCCCACAGGACCCCGGCGGAGCTCAGCTCTCGTCTGCCGAGGGCGCGGTTGCCCGGACAGCCTCTTCCAGAACCCGGGCCAGCCGGCCCCTTTCCGCGCCCGCCCGAGATGAGTTTTAAGCTGCCAGGTCTGGGACTCAAAGTGTGGTCGACTAAGTGGGAGTCCAGTGACACAACCATTACGCAAACTGCTGGTCCTATGGATCGCATACTATTAATAGAAATACTAAGGAATGTTGCTGTGACTTCTGTTAATGGTGATCATGTGCCCATTACCATTATTATTTATTTTTATTTTTATTTTTTATTTTTTGGAGAGATTTTCACTGTAGGGCGCGTGCGCTCTCCAGACAGAGAGAGACATAGAGACAGAAAGCGAGAAATCACCCCCCCAGGGGGGATGGTCACGCCGCAATCCCTTCTCCTCCATTCTCCTCTCGGGATCTTGGGCACGCATGCACACGCGCCCGGCGTGAGTTTTAAGCCACCGGGTCCGGGACACGAACCGCGGTCGACTATGTGGGAGTCCAGCAACATAGCCATTACGCTAACTGCTGGTTCCCATTACCATTATTTTTAATGGACCAATAATACTTGCATACAACATCCAGATATAGAGTTCTTGAAACTTTTCCCCTTCAGCACTTGAATATATCCGCTGACTCTTCCAGCATACTAAGCTTCTGATAAAAATAAAAAATAGGTTGATAATCTTATTGCAATCCCTTGTATTTGACGAATTACTTCCCTTTTGCTGCTTTCAAGGTTCTTTGTCTTTGAAAAGTCTGAAAATAATGTGTGTTGGCGTGAGTCTCTTTGAGTTATCCTGATTGGAGAATGCTGCATTTCCTGAATATTTATATTCATGCCTGTTATCAAATTTGGGACATTTTGAGTCATTAGTTCTTCAGATAATTTCCCTGCCCTCTCTTTCTTCTCTGGCACTCTTACCATGTGTGTTTGTCCACTTGATCGTGTCCCACAGGTCTCTTAGGGTTAATTTTTCTTCAATCTTTTTTTCTTCTGTTTGTCAGACTCAATTTGTTTTCTAGTTATTTTCTTCTGCCTGCTCAAATTTTCTCTTGAATTTCTCCAAGTGAATTTAAAAATTCGTTGCGAGACCTTTCATTTCTATTTTAAAAAATGTTTCCTGTCTTTTTGTTGTTATTTACATTTACTTCATATATCCTTGACTTTGTCCATGTCTCATTTTAACTCTTGGAGCATCTTTTAAAAAACAGTTGCTTTCAGACCAGCAGTTGGTGTAATGGCTATGTTGCTTGCTGGACTCCCATGTAGTCGACCACAGATTGAGTCCTGGACCCGGAGGCTTAAAATTATACCAGGCACGTGTGCATGCGTGCCCAAGATCCCGAGAGGAGAATGATTGTGGCATAGCCATCCCCCCAGGGAGTGATTTCTCACTTTCTATCTTTCTGTCTTTCTGGCGAGCACATGAGCCCTATAGCAAAACCCTCTCCAAAAAAGAAAAGAAAAGAAAAAGAAAAGTTGCTTTTAAGTCTCTGTCCAGATATATTTAAATTCAACTTTACTTATTATTTTTTAATTTGATCAGAGAGAGACAGAGAGAGAGAGAAGGAAAGTGAGAAGGCAAGCCACCAGGTCTGGGAGTTGAGCTGTAGCTGGCCATGTGGGAGTTCAGTGTCTTTAACCACCACGCCACCTGCTGGCCCATTTTATTTTTGATTACTTTTACGTTCGCTGTAGTGCATGTGTGCTCACCAGAGGAAGACAGAGAGAGGGAAAGCGAGAAAGCAAACCACTAGGTCCAGGACGCAAACCATGGTCAACCATATTGGAGTCCAGCATTTTAACCACCATGCTCTCTCCCGGCCCAACAGTTTCTATTCAGTTTTTTGCCTTTGAATGGACCTTACTTTCATATTTCTTTGTATGCTTTATATGCTTTACCTCTTTCTTTGTTGAAAACTGAACATTTGTATCTTATAGTGTGGTAACTCTGGAAATTAGATCTCCCTTCACTGGGGCTTGCTGTTTTATGTGAGCTAGGGACAGGTATTTTGTTTAATTTTTTGGCTGATACTTTGTTTTTGATAGGGTGGGTTTGTATAAACATAAGGTCTCAGGTCTTTTCTGAGCCTGCTCCTTTTCCTGAACATGCATGATCACTTATTAAATTTCTGCATTTTGAATGTTCTGATTCTT